TTAGGATTCCAACAGGCCAAACTAACAGAACATACACAAATAAAGCAAAGATTAATTAAAGAATACCATAGTAGGTTAAACGCTATACTTAGAACACAGTTAAATGCAAAACACATAGTTAAAGCAATAAACACATATGTCATCCCAGTACTCACATACTCTTTTGGAGTTATACATTGGACTCACACAGATCTTGAGCAATTCCAAAGAAAAACAAGAACAACGCTTACTAAGCATAAACAACATCATCCTAAATCTGCCATAGAAAGATTAACCCTTCCACGTAAAGATGGCGGACGTGGCCTGATTGACATAGTTAACCTTCACTACAAATAAATACAGTCACTGCGAGAGTTTTTCTACAGGAAACAAGAAACATCACAATTACATAAAGCAGTAGTTTTAGCAGATTCAAATAGCACACCATTAAACTTACACTCACATCATACAGACTTGAAACAAATATAAAAGGCATAGACACCATTAAGCAATCATGGGCTCAAAAGGCACTCCATGGCAGGCATCCTTATGACCTGGCCCAGGATTTTGTTGACAAAACTGCATCAAACAGCTGGTTAGATCGGGGATGCCTCTTTGGGGAGACGGAAGGATTCATGATTGGCATACAGGATCAGGTCATAAATACTAAAAACTACAGAAAACACATACTCAAAGATACAACACTCACAAATGGCACATGCAGAAAATGTCACATCATACCAGAAACTATACAACATATCACTTCTGGTTGCAAGCTCTTGGTACAGACAGATTACTTACATAGACATAATCAAGTAGCAAATATAATACACCAAGAGCTTGTAAACAAACACAAATTATTAGATACCCACGAACCATACTATAAATACATTCCACAGACAGTATTGGAAAACAACACGCACAAACTGTACTACGACAGAGCCATAATCACAGATAAAATAATTTACCACAACAGACCAGACATCACACTCATTGACAAACACAATAAAATCACATACATTATAGACATAACCATTCCAAACACTCACAATGTTCAAAACACATGCACTGAAAAAATAGCAAGTACACAGAACTTGCCCAGGAAATAAGGCATCTGTGAAGGATGGATAGGGTGCTTATTGTACCTGTCGTTCTCTCCTGTACAGGTGTGATACCANAGTAAACTAAAAAAAATATTCACTATAATGCAATTTTTATTTTTAATGGTGTCTTGAAGTTTGAATAATTTCATATATTTTTTTAAAATTAAAATAAGTGTAATCTAGGTACGCTATTCTGTCACAGTTGGTTGAAACATGTGTTGAGAGTTTGAGAGGAATAAATTAAATGTTGAGAATGACATGAGATTGGCGTTAACAAAAACTCACCCGCGAATTTTGAAACTGGTTAATAACATGCAATTTCAACCATCGCATTAAATTATTAAACAACTGAAAATAAAATTATAGTAAAAAAACTAATTTCGTTGTTTTTTAATTACCTTATTAAAAATGCCTTTTTCAATTGTATCGGGGTCGCGGGACATTTGGCTTTTATAAAAAGGGGTCGCCACCCGAAAAACGTTGGGAACCGTTGATCTACTAGAATAAGCAGAGAAATTTCTAAATTTTAACATGCATAGAGGACAAACCAAGAAGTTTTACTGTCTGTCACCACCTTGAAGTACCTGAAAAATTTATCAATGCCTTTCCTAATCATATGATGTCATGTGATCAATAAAAATGTTTATGCTTTCCAAATTAATGGTAAATGATGCCATACACTAATTTCACAATTGTTCAGATCAGTAAATGTTTTATGCATGTGGTCCATAAATGATAAATTAAAAGAAAAAAAGGTTTTGCTGGTTAGGTCTTATTATAAGAAGAAATGAAACAAAATTAGTCAAGATAAATTCAATATCAGTCTTCCTAATTAAGAGAGGTAGAGATGTTGTAAAGAAAGTGAGTTAGGAGTAGACACAAAACTAGCTAGAAGTAGAAAAGATTAGAAAAGTAGATTAACAAAATTTGTCCCTGCTTAATCAAAACAAGATGATGATGATGGTGATACAGTTGGTACACAGTTTGTATTATATTTATGAGGAAGAAACATATAGTCGTTGTTCAAATAATTTTATTTATTTATTTATTTATCTATCAATAGGACTTTCACAATAGGTTAAGTCTTATTAAGAGTTTAGATCTTCCCATATAACAATAAAACCTGTAAAAAATACACAAAAAGAGCTTAAAATATACAATAAAAACAATATTCCCATTAAATTAATTAAATACTGATATACTATGTTTTGACAATGTAAAATAATATACAAATATTTGATAATATTAATTAATGTCTTCTTTTCACTTGGTATGAAAAGAAGAAGTTAATTTACTACTTGTATGATGAAGTTGATAATGCATGACTGGTTTTTACTTAATTCACTTGAATGAACAGACATTTTGTCAAATGTTTCAGAAAATTCAGAAATATGGTGGAAGTAGATAGAATCAGGGATTAAATCCTTCTTTCCTGTAACAGTTTCTTTGGTCCCATTTTTCACTAAAAAGTGTATGTTACATGTGATCAACAACTATTTTTGAAATGGTGATCATAGATGTTGGCTTTTATAGATAAAATTTTGCATTCTCTTGGAATTCAATCATCCCCGTGTTACCAAGAACCTTGTCTAAACTTTAAAAAAGTGCCTTTTTTATTTATAGTCTATTTTTACTAATTTGTAGTATTCACTTTGGCATCCTGGGACAACATACAAAGTCATGACCCAACCATCAGTTTATGAAACTTTAAACAATATTTACATATAAAATAAAAAAATAACAAGAATTTAAAATAATGTACAAATTAAAAATATTAAGAAAACAAAAAAATTTAAATTGAAAAAGAAACTAGAAAAATATGAATATAAGGTGTAATGAACTTTTAGAATCATGAAGGAGTCCAAGTTTTCTTTCAGATTAAATGTTTGTTGGAAGTGCACATCCCAAACAGTACTCTTTTAATCAATGCCAAATTAATAACATTGTCCCTGTGAGCATTTTGTCTTTCTTTCCAAAGACTCCATCTTCAGTCAAGAGGTTTATTGGATATTTTAGTCTGTTATATCTTCAAACTTGCTAAGCACTCAAAAGGCTCTAGAATACCTTTAAAATTTGAAATTTAAAATTTTGAAGGGGATTCTTTTTGTAACTGGATACATACCACCAACCATGAAACTCAAGGAGACTTTCCCAAATCTTTTTGTGAAATTTAAAATTTTGAAGAGAATGCTTTTTTGACATTCTTTGTTCAAATTTCTATAAGATCTGATGATGGGATGTGTAGTCTTGGAAAGCATTTAATCTAAAAGAAAACTTTGACTCTTTCAGTGACTTAAAAGTACTACATTGAACTGATTGACACACAAATGTTCAAGGATAGACTGGAATAATTGGGGATAGGATGTCTCCTTGATAATTTTGGGATTGTGGATAGGCTCTGTCTGCACTTTTTGTTTAATCTCAGATCTCACCCATACCTGAGTTTTCTATCCAGAGGAGTGTAGCCTCTCTTGTTATCCTTAGCAGGCTTGCTGAGTATCTGCAATGAGTATCCATGGTGTTATCAGTTCTGAGCCTTGCCCTGCACATCATCTTCTCTGATCTTTTTCCTACTTTTTTCTCCCCCTTCTTTTGGGAGCCAACTTCCGACCAGTCAGAAAGACAGTTGCGCACAAAGCTTCCTTTTACATCTGTGCTAACCTAAATGTAGGTGGTCATCCTCCTACATGTTTAATTGTAGCTGTTTTCATGCCACTGTAAGTGGTGTTATGACCAGACCACACCTGGGTCCATTTTAACAAGCCACAAGATTGCTTTTTTTTCCTCTTCTCTCCCACAATAATTTTTCACGTAACCCCACAGGAAATATCACAAGGATTCAGATCTGGTAAATAGAGAGTTTGTTCCACACCTTCTGGAATAACTTAAACATCTGGTTGTATATCAAACAATCCCCAAAAATACTGAAAAGGAGTTCATTATTGATCTTAGCCATATGTGGTTGAGTACTGTCCTTCATAAACCATGTTTTTGCTCAAATTTTCTGACTTGATGAAAAATGGTAAACTTTTGTTTTTGAAGATATTAGAATAATTGGTGGCATTAATAGTTTGATGGATGAATATCAGTCCAATTATGCCTTGATAATTCATTGCTACCCAGACAGTTGTTTTTTGAGGATGCAGAAGCATCTTTATGAATAGCTTTATTGAATCTATTCAGTGGCCTAGAATAAATAATTTTGACAATTGATATACAGTATTTGTTCAGACCAAAGTATGCCTTTGTCTGGTATAAAATCAAGTGTCCATGACTTTATCATTAATTAGATTGAGAATTGCATTTAGCATTTCAGCTGTACATTGTTCCTTTCCTGGAGAATTGCTTGAAACATTTGGATTGTGTATGGATATGTATCTATAGTTTTCCTGTGCAAAATCTGATGTTAGCTGCACTGTGTTAGTTCAGTTTTCAGGCTAAATCTACTGATAGAACTCCTCGAAGGACTTCAAGATGGCCTCTTTGATCTTTCAGATGTTGGTATGACTTGATGTTGGTGATCTTTTTCTCTAATTCACTGGAGTTTGACATTGAGAGTTATTGACAATGCCATACTTGTGAAATCAGACAAAGTCATTGGACAAGTTGTGGATTCAACTTCTTATGCATCTCTTTACCAAATTCAATTATAGTGCTTTTCTAACAGATAATCACCATAGTACTGACACTAGAGTGTATATGGCATTGAACAAATTATTTTTGTTCAATGCCATATACCAAAAAAAAACTTTTTCGGGTTTCAGGGGACACTGGAAAAAATATATTTCTAATAATTCACGTAGAGATTAATATAAATTTTTGAAATTTCAGAGTTATTTTGTAAAGACCTTATATATTATTTAAAATCTATACATTTAAAATTAAAATAATATATTTTCATATAACTTTGCATTTCAGATTATTTGATGTGGGTGGACAGAGATCTGAAAGGAAAAAATGGATTCATTGTTTTGAAGATGTAACAGCAATTATATTCTGTGTAGCTATGAGTGAATATGATCAAGTTTTGCATGAAGATGAGACTACTGTGAGTTAATTTAAATTAAAATTTGTCAGAAATATAAAAATTTGCATGTTACTTTTTACAATATTTATTTTTTCATAATAAATTAATTCTTGAAATGATATTTAATTTTCAGAATCGCATGCAGGAAAGTTTAAAGTTGTTTGACTCAATCTGTAATAACAAGTGGTTCACTGATACTTCTATCATTTTATTTCTCAATAAGAAAGATCTTTTTGAAGAGAAAATCAAAAAATCACCTCTCACTATTTGTTTTCCTGAATATACTGGTAAATATTTAATATATTCCATTTCTAATTTAAAATTATGTCAAAAAAAGAATTATTACAAACAAAATTATTTGTTTTTAGTTAATTTTATAATAATTGCAATATTTTTTTTTTTATTTTTTTGAATTTTAATATATGAAACTAGATCTCAATACTTAAATTGATATGATCCTATTCTTATATAAAAATTTAAAAATTAATAAGCTATCCATTAATTTATTTATTAAAATGAAATATGAACTATGAAGTTTTGTTCAATATTTATAAAATAGAAAATATGAATAAAATGGTGATTTGTATCTTTTCTGTGACAATTGATATGAATATTTGCAAGATATTTTTAATTACTCAATAATCTTTATAATATATAAATAGATACAATAAGAATTATGATATTGATTTAAAATTTTATAGTTTACACAGTAAATTACATATTATATTACTAATACATTAAATTAATTTTATTTAACTTTTTAAAATTAGGGAATGAAGTTCAATCTTGATGATAATATAATAAATTTTTATTTTTTAAAAATATTTTTAAGTCATTTATTATTACAATTTATGTAAAGAAATAATAAAATTATATTTTAATAATAACTTAAATCTAAGTGTTTGTTTATTTTAATGTTTAATAATAATAATAATAACTCTCCTGTGGTCACCACCTGGTCGTGGTGGGAGAGCCCAGTAATTTTACTGAACCATAGAGCAATGCAGGCTGGAGCACAAGCTCCTGGTAAGGAGACCCTTGCCAGTAAGGTCTATGGGGAGAAATGAAGCTAAGAGTGACCACACCCACATTCTGTGGAGATATTTATCATGGTAGTAACCAGATCAAAGTGTGATACCGGCTCGGATGTCGCTCGGGTTAACAAGGTCCGCGTTCATGAGTTAGGCAGAGGCTCATGTTCGAAAAATAGGCCGCAGTCTCCCTTGGTTACCGGTGGCGAAAGCAGCGCCGGCCCAAGCATGGCTACTGCAATGCCCTCAACAGATGTGAGGAATCAACCTAGCCTTGGTGTTTCTGTGGCAATGCATCCACAGACCACAAAGGCTGGAAAACCACGCCAACGGATGAAATGGACAACAGAAATGAACGAGTTTATCATCCGCACTTACTACACCATCACAAGACTCGAAACAAACATGACAGCATACAGACAACAACTACACCATAGATTCACACAACAATATCCTCACCTCACTGTCACCGAACAAAGGGTTGTTGATCAAAAACGAACAATTATACACAACAACCTTATCCCACAAACAACACTTGAACTTATCAAACAACAGGTTGCTGATCAAATACATCAACAGACAGAAACATTTAACATTAATGAAGATCACGTAACCTGTCAGGATAATCCAGCAACAAGCACTGATTACAGCACACACACAACAAGTACCACTAATGATACTGCAGGCACTTCCCCATCCATCACTGATAACATAGACATAGAATTAGTTAATACACTCTCACTTATATTTCAGGAAACACTCACTAAATATACAGGTACAGATCCCACACAAAGACCACGAATACCGAAAATCAACACGTCAAAGGTAGTAGGAAAAACACTAAATTATGTAAACACTCACTTACTACCAAACTACATTCATTCAATTTCTACACTCTCAGACATTCATACATTAGTTTATGCTGGGGCAGTCACAGTAGTAACACACCATGGACTGAAAATACACTCACAGACAGACACACACAAAACACAATTCTATCACAAGCCTGCCTGGCAGAGAAGAATAGAAACACAAATAAATGACATTAGACAGCAATTAGGCAGGCTGACACAATACACTAAAAACAACATAACACCCAAATTAAAGAAACAACTCAAAAACATTTTCAAGAAAATCAAAACACACACAAAACATGAACATCACAACACACACATTACAGAATACATCGATACACTAAAACAAAAACTCGCAGCCAAAGCACGTAGACTCAAACGATACAAAACATGTACACTACGAAAACAACAAAATAAATTATTCACAAACAATGAAAAACTTTTCTACAGACAAATCAGTACCAAAACAAACACTGATACACAGCACAGTGGCACACCAACAGAAGAAGAACTCACAACTTATTGGTCTTCTCTTTGGTCCAATGCTGTTACACACAATGCTGATGCAGGCTGGATCGAGGAGGAGAACAGAAACTTGCACAACATACCAACTATGCCCTGTGCTGAAATAAACATACACGACATTCGCTACGCTGTTAACAGAACACACAACTGGAAGACACCTGGTGTAGACAACATTCACAATTTCTGGTACAAAAAGTTTACATCACTGCACCAGGAACTAGCTAAACATCTAACACACATCATCATCAATCCACAAGACATGCCAAAATTTCTTACTCGGGGCATTACCTACATGAAACCTAAAAACAACAAAACCACAGACCCCACACAATACAGACCAATTACATGTCTTCCAACACTCTACAAATTATTGACATCCTGTATCACAAACAAAATATACAAACATGTTGAAGAACACGACATTCTTACAGAACAACAAAAAGGTTGCCGTAGAAATCACAGGGGATGCAAAGAACAGTTACTCATAGATTCAGTCATTCTACGGCAAGCACACAAACAACACAGAAACATACACATGGCATATATAGACTACAGAAAAGCATTCGACAGTGTTCCACACAGTTGGCTGCTACATATTCTACACATGTACAAAATACATCCATCACTCATTGCATTCTTCGAAAACACTATGCAGCACTGGAGAACAACACTACATCTCAGGGTTAGTAACACTTCCATACAAACAAACGAAATATTCATTAGGCGAGGAATTTTTCAAGGAGATTCCTTGAGTCCTCTCTGGTTCTGCCTAGCCCTGAATCCATTATCCAACATGTTAAACAACACGCAATACGGCTACAATATCAGACACGAAAAAACAACACAGTTTACACTCTCACATCTCATGTACATGGACGACATAAAACTTTATGCATCCACACAAAAACAACTTCATCAACTCCTACAAATCACACATTCATACACTAAGGACATACAAATGGAGTTTGGCCTAGACAAATGCAAAAAACTTCACATAGAAAAAGGAATCCTGAAGAAAGAAGATTTTGCACTTGGAAATGGAGACGTTATTGAATCCATGGAAGAGGGCGAGTTCTACAAGTACTTAGGATTCCAACAGGCCAAACTAACAGAACATACACAAATAAAGCAACGATTAATTAAAGAATACCAAAGTAGGTTAAACGCTATACTTAGAACACAGTTAAATGCAAAACACACAGTTAAAGCAATAAACACATATGTCATCCCAGTACTCACATACTCTTTTGGAGTTATACATTGGACTCACACAGATCTCGAGCAACTCCAAAGGAAAACAAGAACAACACTTACTAAGCATAAACAACATCATCCTAAATCCGCCACAGAAAGATTAACCCTTCCACGTAAAGAAGGCGGACGTGGCCTGATTGACATAGTTAACCTTCACTACAAACAAATACAGTCACTGCGAGAGTTTTTCTACAAGAAACAAGAAACATCACAGTTACATAAAGCAGTAACTCTAGCAGACTCAAATAACACACCATTAAACTTACACTCACATCATACAGACATGACACAACACATAAAAAGCATAGACACCATCAAGCAATCGTGGGCTCGAAAGGCACTCCATGGCAGGCATCCTTATGACCTGGCCCAGGATTTTGTTGACAAAACTGCGTCAAACAGCTGGTTAGATCGGGGATGCCTCTTTGGGGAGACGGAAGGATTCATGATTGCCATACAGGATCAGGTCATAAATACTAAAAACTACAGAAAACACATACTCAAAGATACAACACTCACAAATGACACATGCAGAAAATGTCACATCATGCCAGAAACTATACAACACATCACTTCTGGTTGCAAGCTCTTGGCACAGACAGATTACTTACATAGACACAATCAAGTAGCAAATATAATACACCAAGAGCTTGCAAAGAAACACAAATTGGCAGACATCCACGAACCATACTACAAGTATATTCCACAGACAGTATTGGAAAACAACACGCACAAAATGTACTACGACAGAGCCATAATCACAGATAAAACAATTTACCACAACAGACCAGACATCACACTCATTGACAAACACAATAAAATCACATACATTATAGACATAGCCATTCCAAACACTCACAATGTACAAAACACATGCACTGAAAAAATTAGCAAGTACACAGAACTCGCCCAGGAAATAAGGCATCTGTGGAGGATGGATAGGGTGCTTATTGTACCTGTCGTTCTCTCCTGTACAGGTGTGATACCACACACACTACACAAAAGCCTGGGAACATTACAATTGAATAGAAATACATACATCACACTACAGAAGGCCACTATATTGAATACATGCCATATTGTTAGGAAATTCCTGAATACAGACACTGACAAACTTATTTAATTTTAGTTTTATTTTGGTTGCTATGCCTTGACTCTGGTCCAGCATAGTACACAGCCACCGGTGTGAACCAAGTATAACCCACTAAACACAACAATAACAACAACTCTATCAAAAAACTTAATACATATGTTAAATTTAAAATAAACCTTATAACAAGTTTTCAAATACTTCTATTTAAAAATCATTGACATTTCAAGATTAATTTTTATATTAGAATAATTTTATCCACAAACTCTCTACATATTGAGAATTTAATTATAATTAATATACAGTAGAGCATCAATTATCTGAATATTGATCAACTGCACTGGCGTGACCATGAGAGGGTACTTAAGGATGCACCAGGATTTGAATGAATTTCAACATGGGATAGGTTAATATATTTTTTCGTACATAATCGGTTATCCAAAAAATCGATTATCCGAACAACCCCAGTCCTGAATTGTTTTGGATAATCAATGCTCTACTGTATTTATTATTAATAGGTATTTTAAAGTTTT